ATTTTGAATTTTTTCCAAATGGCTGTTGGGTGTAGAGGGTAGTAGAGCTGTGGGCCATAAATTGAAGCCTTTGAGAGCCTTGGGTCTGGAGAGCTATGAAGAGGGAAGGAAAAGAGGGCAAGTCTCGAATCTAACCAAGGACCTGATGGAGTGCGCCACCAAGACACAGAAGTGAAGGCTGTGTCCATGTGCTTCCCACAGACTGGAGTTTTTGGTGCTGATTAGAAAGAGCAGTTGCTGAAAAACTGGGGGTTTGGTGAATAAATTTTTGATTGATTGTTGTGTGTGTATACAATGTGTGATTTTGAAAATAAACAACAACAATAAAAACCCTGACTGGTTGATTTTTACCTGTATTCTTTACATATACTGTTTGATCAACCCTCTTTGAAAACTGTTATATTTCACCTAATGGAAGACTGCTGTATTTGTGGAAATTCTGTAAGTTTTTTGTTGTTGTTGTTTCTTTTTTTCTTTTTTTTTTTTTTTGCTTGCAGAATCGTTGAGAGACTAAGTCTTTATATTTAATTGACTTGTTTATTAATAAATGTTACATAGATGTAAAAGACTGTATAAACTGTAGAGATAGCATTGGCAAGACTGTACAGATGCAACCTTTTACACAGCAGCATTGTGTAATTAATTTGTAAAGATTCACATGTAGCTCTCTACTATAGGGATTTTTTGGCTTTTGTACCAACCGAATGCCATTTTTTGTGTTTTTAAATTATTTTCTCTGTCTTTTCATGTTACAAAAGCTGAGGTGTGGGGGTTTTGAGTTCATTTATCATTAGAATGTCTGGATTTTTATGTGACATTTTGTGTGCATCCCTATAAATGCAAACACCACATGTTTGCCTGTGACAAGTTTATAGAATGCAAGGTATCTTCTAGGTTAAAGTGATTCACGAGTTAGTGAATGTCCTCTTGCAACACACCCTGTACAGTCTTCCTTAAAGGAACACTACAGTATATTTTTTAGTATCTACTTGCTGAATGACTCCATACAGACCTAAGCTCAGCAGAGGTCCTGGTACAGTATTGCATTGTCTGCGTACACAGGCGTAATCCCTGTATAGAGTAGTGCCAAACTGATGATTTCCATTGTGTAACTAGTTTAAAACCCAATAAATGGATTGTTTTTAACACCTGGCTTTTGTCTTCATTAAGAAGAAAAGACAGTTTCTGTAGGCAGTGACTCTCATGGATTCCTTTTGCGTCCACAGATCTGGGTCCATAAATGCATGCCCTCTAACCAAACCAAATTATCTAGATCAGACCTGCCCAGTACAGTAGCCAGTAGCTACCTATGACTACTTACATATAAATTAAAATCTCATTTTCTCAGTCTCAGTAGCCACATTTCAAATGCTCATTAGCCACTTGTGGCTAGTGGTTTACCTTACTGAATAGCACCGATGAACACTTTTATCACAGAAAGTTCTGTTGGACAGCACTGGTCTAGATCATTGATTCTCACATTGATGTGCCTGAGAATCACGTGGGGACTTTGTTAAAATGTGAATTTTAATTCATGCTGCTAGCTCATGATATCAATGCCTGGCCCTCAGATCACAGTTTAAGTAGTGAGGCTTTACATATATTAACCACTTCAGCTTTTTCTAAAATAAGCTGTATGAAACTATGCCTTAGCAAGGTTCCTCAAGTGGGAACTTTATTTTTTTTTTAATGATTTATTTGACAGGGCACAAGTAGGGGAAGCGACAGGCAGAGGGAGAGGGAGAGGGAGAAGCAGGCTCCCTGAAGAGCAGGGAGCCCGATGCGGGGCTCGATCCCAGGACCCTGGGATCATGACCTGAGCCGAAGGCATATGCTTAATGACTGAGCCACCCAGGCGCCATTAAGTAGCAACTTTAGAAAATAAAAGCTCCTGGGCACCTGCTGTGACATGTTGGGCTCAGAATTTCTCTGGTTGGGGCTCAGGTGTCAATTTTAGAGCGTGCTTGCATGAGGTGGGGGAGAGGGAGAAGAGAATCCCAAGCAGACTCCCTGCTGAGCTCCGAGCCCCTTGCGGGCTCCACGTGGGGCTCAATCCCAGAACCCTGAGATCATGACCTGAGCTGAAATCCAGAGTCCAACGCCCAACCCACTGAGCTATCCAGATGCCCCAGGCGTCAATGTCTTTTAAAAGCTCCATATGTTTCAGTTGTGCATCAGAATTGAAAACCGGGGTGCCTAGGTGGCTCAGATGGTTAAGCGTCTGCCTTCAGCTCAGGTCATGATCCCAGGGTCCTGGGATCGAGCCCCACATCGGGCTCCTGGCTCAGCAAGGAGCCTGCTTCTCCCTCTCCCTCTGCCTCTCTCCCTGCTCATGCTCTCTCTCTCTCTCTCTCTCTCTCTCTCTCTCTCTCTCTGTGTCTTAAATGAATAAATAAAATCTTTACCAAAAAAAAAGAATTGAAAACCTCTGGTGAAGGTTCTTAAGGCCCACTGTAGACCTAGAAACAGGATTCTTTAATCTGAGTTTCTAACATTTGCCCCATGTGATTCTGACACCAGGTGTAGATGTTGCTTATTACCTTGATACCCGATCAGGTTATACTGTGAATGACTTAATTCCCTAAATTTTCTACCAGTGGAAGAAGACTTAAAGGGATGCAGGAGAGAAAAGGGGTGGATGGCTACTACTGTCTAAGGTAGTTCTTAAATGTATGTTGTGTTAAAAAAAAATGGAGAACCGCGGCGGGAATGGTGTTAAGGATGAGGAAGACAGGCCAAAGTTGAGAAGTCACTGCTGTTTGGACGTGGAAGACAGTCAAGGTAGGTTTCTAGGTCGGGGAGGGGGAAAGTCTTCTTTGAGGTTGTCATGCCTAATCTAGTTCCTGAATGGATCCTTTAAAAACAAAGACTGCAAATTATGTTTCAATATTTAGGAAGAAAATTTACCCACCTAGTCTCTTAATGTAAATGAAAGTTTTGGTGAAAAAAATAAATAGGATGAGAAAGCTGTTTTCAAATACTCCAGATACATGGCATTGCCAAGCTCTTTGGAAAACCACTTGTGATTAGTAGTGAGGCCAGAGAGGATTACTAAGGAATTTTGTTTTATTGAAAAATCAACTTTTTCTACATAGTCTTCAGAGTTATTTTTGTGCACAAAGACCATTGTCTTGTTAATACACTTGTGTTCAATTTTTCCCCATTGTTGAACATCAGGGTTTCCAGTTTTCTCTACTCCAGATTACATTGCAATGAATATTTTCGTAATTTTGGGGCGCCTGGGTGGCTCAGTCAGTGTCCTGGGATCGAGCCCCAAGTGGGGCTCTCTGCTCAGAGGGGAGTCTGCTTCTCTCTCTCCCTCTGAGCTTGCTTGCTCTCTATCCCCCCCAAGTAAATAAAATCTTAAAAAAACATTTTCATAACTAAATGCTTAAATTCTTCAATTATTTCCTCAGGGTAAATTGTGGGGAGTAAAATTTTAGGTCAAGAATTTAAATACTGTAATTGCTCTGATACATTGTTTTCCTCCACCTGCACATGTATCAATTTGCATTGCCAATGATAGTATTAGAATGCCTGTTTCCCTGCAAATTGATAGCCCCCCTTTTTTTTAGATTTATTTGTTTGAGAGAGTGCAGTGGGGGGAGGGGGAAGAGGGAGAGAGAATCCCAAGCAGACACCCTGCTGAGTGCAGATCCCCACCGGATCTCACCACCCTGGGGATCATGACCTGAGCCCAACATCAAGAATCCAATTGAGGGCTCCTGGGTGGCTCAGTCATTAAGTGTCTGCCTTCAGCTCAGGTCATGATCCCCGAGGTCCTGGGATGGAGCCCAGCATCGGGCTCCCTGCTCTGCGGGGAGCCTGCTTCTCCCTCTCCCGCTCCCCCTGCTTGTGTTCACTCTCTCGCTGTGTCTCTCTCTGTCAAATAAATAAATAAAAAATCTTAAAAAAAAAAAATCCAATTGAGCTACCCAGGTACCCCAGCCCATTCATATTTTAACATTTATAGTCAGCCTTGCTTGTTCCTTCGCAGATTTGACTTTTTTTTTTTTTTTTTACTACTAAACCTGTGCTCCATTTGGCACTGTTGGCTGGTACATTTTGTAGGCATAATTCTAGTAGCTTTAGACTTGCTGATGGTACTAACTAGTTCCTGATTTCCTCTTCTCTAGAATCTTTTATTACAATTTGGGATTTTTTTTTTTCCCGGTATAATTTCTCTCAAAGGTGTAACTCTGATGGCCACCTTCCAGCCCAAACCTACTGTAATCTGTCAGGCGGCCAGATGCCTGGAAATCAGCTGGCGATTGCTCATTCAGTAGCTAATCCACATGGAGAGGGACAGAACTTGGGTTAAAATTCTCTAAATAGTAATGGGTCTTCTCTTTCAATGGCTTATTTCTAGGGCCCGAGCTCATCATAACTGACGACATAGGTTAGAACCGCTACATTGCAGGTGGTTGGGGAGTGGAGTATTATGTGGGAATTAACTGAAAATTTGTCAAGTTTTATCTACACAGAATTCTAATAGCATAGTCAACACCTGGATTGAATGTCTACTTCATAAATTACCCATTTTTTTTTCTTTCTTAATGAAAGCACAGGATACTAGGGGAGATGTTTACACACAAGTCAAATTCTTTGGTACTTTTTGGTACCAAACAGTTCTCTTTAAAAAGATAAACTGCCGGGCACCTGGGTGGCTCAGTCGTTGAGCGTCTGCCTTGGGCTCGGGTCATGATCCCAGGGTCCTGGGATCAAGCCCCGCATGGGGCTCCCTGCTTGGCGGGAAGCCTGCTTCTCCCTCTCCCACTCCCCCTGCTTGTGTTCCTTCTCTCGCTGTGTCTGTCTCTGTCAAATAAATAAAATCTTAAAAAAAAAAAAAAAAAACTGCCAGCGGCGCCTGCCTTCGGCTCAGGTCATGCTCTCCAGCTCCCCGCATGGGGCTCCCTGCTCAGCGGGGAGCCTGCTTCTCCCTCTGCCCCTACCCCCCCCCCTTGCGCGCTCTCTCTCTCTCTCAAATAATAAAATCTTTAAAATAAATTGTTATGATGACTTCATTTACAAACTCCGTTTCGAAGTACCGAACTGGACGATGACGCCAGCTGAATCTAGGAGGCAGTGTTAGCCGCGGCGCGGAGGCGAAGCCCCGAGCACCGAGGGGAGCCCTGCCGGCCGCGCGCCCCACGCTCTCCACCCGCTAAGGCCATCGGGGGGGCGGGGGCTCCCCAGCGTTCCCGGCCTGCCGCCCAGCCCGCAGGCCCCCTCTTGCTCCGCGCGCCAGCTCTCGCCCGCCGCCGAGCCCAGGTCCCCGCGCGGCGAGCCCAGCCCGGGCAGCGGCGCAGCGTGGGGGGGCGGAGGGCGGGGCGCGGCAGCGGCCAGGCCCGGGGGCCCGCGAGGCGCTGAGGGCGCGGGGGGCAGGCGGGCGCGGGGCCTGAGTGTCCGGCGGAGGGGGCGGCGCCCCCGGCGTCTCCGTGACTGCGCCTCGGCGCCCCGGCTCGGCGGCTCGCGGGATGCGCGGCGGCGGCGGCGGCGGCGGCGGCGATGGCGATGATGCCTCGAGCCCGGCCTCGTCCCGGGCGGCGGGCGGAGCTGGGGTCCGGGCGGCGAGATGGAGGAGGGGGGCGGCGCTGCGGCCACCGGGCAGGTGAGAGGCCGCGGGCCCCGGAGGAGGGCGCCCCCGCGGGGGCCGGGAGGGCCGGGCCCCGGGAAGCCGGCGCGGTAGGAGGAGCGCGGCTGCGCTGCTCCAGGCCCGGCCGCCGCGCACCTGCCCTGCTGGCGCGGCCTGCGGGGAAGCCAACTCGCCCCCACCTGGCCGGCTCCCCGGGCTCTGCGGGGCCGCGGAACCCGTTGCCCACTGCCCATTCCCGGTCGGAGCTCTCCGCACCCCACCAGCCCTCTGCCGATTCTCTTACAAGCTTCCTGCTCCGACCTAGGCCCTCCTTCCCTTCCGCACCCCGGGGAGCGCCTACCCACCGCCAGTCCCTGGCTGGGGTCGACCTCCCCTCCCCAAAGCCTCGCTCTCCATCCCCAGACTGGGGGGCCTCCCTAGCCTCCTCATCTCTCTCATCCACTGATCCTACCCCAAACCGTCAGCTGCTCGGGGCTTCAAGAGGTGGTTGAACTGCGGGGAGAAGAGCGTGGGCTCCGAAATAGATAAATCTGGCTTGAATCTTAGTGACCTTGGGCAAGTCACCTAACTTCCCTGAGGGTTTTTTTTCCTGATCAGTACAAATACAGTGGGAATAATAATAGTATAGAACCTTGCTCTCTGTGAGGGTTAGACTGTGAAAATGCCTGTCTTCGAGGAATGTAAGACATTATGAGAAGAAGAAGAAAAAAAAAAGGAGTTGGAAGAATCCAAGCCAGGAGCTGACTTGTAAAAGCTCCAGATGTTTTCATATGTCCTAAAATATTAAGGCAGCACACTAGATTATCACAGGCTCTTCCCACATCTTAGTGAGAAATCACGGCCACGGTACACAAATTTTCATTTACTCTTCCTTGCTTACTAGTTACTTTAGGTTCCCTCCTCCTTAGTTGCAACAAGATGCACATAGATATGAATTCATTCTTACTGTGGCTAACATGTCTGCTGAAGACTGGTGTTCCAACCTAAACTTTTTCGGATTTTATGACTTTAAGCACCTATTTATGGTGCCAGAAATAAAGAGTAGCTAGTATGCTTGCATTGAAAAGAACATTGGTAATCTGTATTTACTGTTTAGGAGTACCAAATAGGTATTCATTTACCACCCCTCCCCGCGAGCTACCATCATAACTTCGTTCGAAATTGTGATCTCAGCCTCCTCTTTCTTAAAAGTCGCGGCAGTGGGTTTACTTTTCCTTCATTTCCACCTTTGCTCTTAAAGTTTCTCTGCCAAAACCTTTATTTCTGTTCCGTGTTCTGCTTTTCCTTTTCTTCCCAGCCTCTCATTGCTTTCTTTTTTTCTAATGATCCAATAGGAATGATTTATAATTACTTTATGCCACAACCATAATTAACAACCTTGCCTAAAAGGTACATAGAAATGTGTGTGTGTGTGTTCATATTTTGAGGTCCAGGAACTTAGAGTTGGGAAGGGATTGTAATACCTACTTCATAGGATTGTACTGAGTGTGAAGTAAAGCTTGATAAAGCTTCTGTTATGTATGCTAACCACCCCATAAATGAAGGTTGCTGTAACTATCTTCTGACCTGTGGACTGCCCCTGATCTCTTTATTGTTATGTTGAGTTGAACCGAGGGGTGCCCAGTGTCAGCTGTAGAGAGTACCTGCTTAGCTTCAAATCCATGCCCTACCCCGCTTTAAATTAGGAGCTCTCTCTCCAATTGAGTTTCCTTATGTGTAAAATGGGGATGAGTTATACTGTCTCAGGGTTGTGAGGATTCAACAAGTTAATAGCATGGAGCATTGAGAACAGTGCCCAGCACATCATAAGCACTCAACAAAGTTAACATACTATTAATGATACTGATAATTATATTAATGACCTAGAATTCTCAAAATCTGAAAAATCTTAAATACACTGAAAAAATTATAACTGTGCAGAAAGTGGAAGTTGGTCCTCAGCTCCACCAAATCTTTTTTTTCTCCTGCCTCTTATCCTTGACTAATGTTGGTGCCTCATCATCCCATCTTGCCTTTGACAGTTGTTTCCAAATATCTCCTAACCTGGGATCTCCATAATTTCCATCACCCCACTTCTTCATTACTAACCATCTACTCGATATTTCTCTTAGCATCAATTCCAGATGCTTCATTCTTCTAATTTCCCAAACCAAATTCCTACTTCATCTTCACCCCTGTTCATTTCCCTGCCTCCAAAGAGGAAACCCTTCTGGGGCAGGGGGTTTGCTAGAAACAATAGTATCACTTCTTTGCCTTCCTACCTCCTCAAATTGAGTTTTCTTTGCTACTTCTCTTTTCATCAGCTAATCCCAATCCTGCAGTTAACAATGAAAAAACAAACGGTAAAAGGTTGTCTTTTTTACTACATAGCTATCAAAAAGAGTTCAGAAGCAGGCACATGGTCTTTAAGTGAAAACAGTAAACTTTCTATTATTTTTTAATTCTAATCAAGAAACAAGAGGTCGAGATTTATATTTTTCTCTCACAGAACTTTTATAAGAAAAGTACAGAAAAGCTGGTCTCCCTTGCCAGTGGAGAACTTCATCATATTGTCGGGCTCTTCACTGTCGGACCATTGAGAATAAAGAAGAGGCCATCTTCTTCCTTCATAAAGAATATCCATTAGGTATATGGACCTCCCCAGGATTGAAATTTGTCCAGTACTCACTGGCGTAGCCATACCTGCTACTGAATGCAGAGAGACTTCTGGTCGAGTGGTTCAGACCTGCTGCTCAGAGCCCCTAGTAATCCCCCCCCATGGACCTGGCTCCCCTTCCTCTCTGCCCCATGATCCAGCAACTGAAGGGTTAACCCCTGACGCAGCTGGAGGCCTCTGGGACCCATTTGGAGCTGGTGGTTAAATATTTGGAACAGTACCCCTGGACCGCCCCAGTGCCATTGCTTATTCCTAAAATGCTGGATTCAAGCAATACCTTTGCGTTGTCAAGAGCATTGCACCAGTCTCTAAGGAACAACTTCAGCTCTCCCACTGGAAGCTTCTTTCAGAGCAGAGTGGGCATCCGGCCACACGGGCCTTTGGGATTTGGAACAACCCAAGATGTGTGAGTGAACTTTAAATCTCATTGAAAAAAAAAAAAAGTTTAAGAGAATAAAAAGCAAGAAGAAAAAGAAGTTATTCTTTTAAAGCGGAGGCTAGGTCTCACTCCTCTGTCTGCCCACAGGACATAGCATAGGGCTGGCACAGAGTGTGCACATGATAAATGTAAACTGAGCCAGTGGATGCATGGGTGGGGGTGTTCCTCCTGCTTCAGGGTGAGGATATTGCTGTTGGAATGATAATAACTTACCTTTGTACAGCAGCTGAGAGTCACAGGTGCTTTGCACCTCGTGAATCTCAGATATAATTGACACCCATCAATGCTTTCAGTTTGTCCTCTCAAATGTAGTCCACAAAGTGTTTTCCAAAGGAAGATAGGGAGTTGGCCAAGAAATTACCAGCAGGGAGAAGAAATTATAAATAATGGAAAACAAAGGCTTGTTCCTGGGGAAAGAAATAGGATTTGTTAGTGATCTGTGGGGGCCACAGTATACTTCAGCAATACCCTCCGGCTTGTAACTCAAGCACGTGCTGTAAGACCTACTCTCGTCCTCCGGCCTGTCTTCCTCCCAGTCCCTGCCCTGCCCCTCCCCCCACAGCGAGCTCCTCGTCACCGCCACGTCCTTCAGCCTCCACCCCAGGGTGGATTAGGTTCCGCCCCTCTTACTTCCAGTGTACCCTGCTATCATGTGATTTACCACATTAGGCTATAAGTAGGGTGTGATCTCTTTGGTGGAAGTTATGTTCTTGGATCTCCCGTGTGAGGCATTGGGAGTATTTCTAAAAATAACATTTGTATCCCCTTCCATCAGAAAAAGGGTGGGGCCCAGGAATCTGCTTTTTTTTTTAACCCACACTCCAGGTGATGCTTAAAGGATTTTGCAAACCGCTATGCCAGGAAACATGAAATTAGCTGGAAGAATGTACTTTGAGGTGTTTGTGTCTTTTCGGTGTTGGGCCTCGTAAGGAGAAATGCTTTCTATGTGTCGGGTCAGAGCTAAAATCCAGTCCTTTTGTACAAAATCCTGAGATCACTCTGCTTTCTACATTAATTCTGTTTCTGGGTGTGCATTTCTGTGTGCAGGCTTCTCTGCCTCGGGCCTCTTGTGTCACATGTGGCACAGCTGTGAGTCGAGGCCCTGACCCCCTTCCCCCAGAAGGAAGAGCCCTTCCTGTCTGAAGATGAACTCCACCGAGCCCCTTGAGGATGCTCCCAACGGCACGTTGCTGAGCGCGCCTCGCTCCCAGGGAGGAAACGGCACCGCCGTCCCGGGGGACCTCCAGCACCTCATGCACACGGCCACTCTGGTCACCTGTACTTTCCTGCTGGCGGTCATCTTCTGCCTGGGCTCTTACGGCAACTTCATTGTCTTCTTGTCCTTCTTTGATCCAGCCTTCCGCAAGTTCAGAACCAACTTTGATTTCATGATCCTCAACCTGTCCTTCTGTGACCTCTTCATCTGTGGAGTGACCGCCCCCATGTTCACCTTCGTGCTCTTCTTCAGCCCCGCCAGAAGCATCCCAGATGCTTTCTGCTTCACCTTCCACGTCACCGGTTCGGGCTTCATCATCATGTCCCTCAAGACCGTGGCGGTGATCGCCCTGCACCGGCTCCGCATGGTGCTGGGGAAGCAGCCCAATCGCACCGCCTCCTTTCCCTGCACCGCGCTTCTCACTCTGCTCCTCTGGGCCACCAGTTTCACTCTGGCCACGCTGGGCACGCTGAAAACCAGCAAGTCCCACCTCTGCCTTCCCATGTCCAGTCTGACGGCCGCGGAAGGGAAAGCCATCGTGTCTCTGTACGTGGTGGACTTCACCTTCTGCGTGGCCGTGGTGTCGGTCTCCTACATCATGATTGCGCAGACGCTGCGGAAGAACGCTCGAGTCAGGAAGTGCCCCCCCGTGGTCACCGCGGATGCTTCCAGACCGCAGCCTTTCATGGGGGCCCCCGGCAAGGGAGGGGGAGATCCCGTGCGGCGTACCGTGCCGGCTCTCTACAGGAACCAGAATTACAACAAGCTGCCGCGCAGTCAGACCCACGGATGCGCCAAGAGTCTTAACCAGGTGCCGCCCCCGGCGGCCAGCCGGCTCCAGCTCGTGTCGGCTGTCAATCTGTCCACGGCCAAGGACTCCAAGGCGGTGGTCACCTGCGTGATTATCGTGCTGTCCGTCCTGGTGTGCTGTCTCCCCCTGGGGATTTCCTTGGTGCAGGTGGTCCTGTCCAGCAACGGGAGCTTCATCCTCTACCAGTTTGAACTGTTTGGATTTACCCTTATATTTTTCAAGTCAGGGTTAAACCCTTTTATATATTCTCGGAACAGCGCGGGGCTGAGAAGGAGAGTACTCTGGTGCCTCCAGTACGTCGGCCTGGGCTTTTTCTGCTGCAAACAGAAGACTCGACTTCGAGCCATGGGAAAAGGGAACCTGGAGGTCAACAGAAACAAGTCGTCCCATCATGAAACAAACTCCGCCTACATGCTGTCTCCAAAGCCCCAGAAGAAATTTGTGGACCGGGCTTGTGGCCCAAGTCACTCGAGGGAAAGTGTGGTCAGTCCCAAGATCTCTGCTGGGCACCAGCCCTATGGTCAGAGCAGCTCAACCCCCATCAACACCCGCATCGAACCGTACTATAGCATTTATTACAGCAGCCCCTCCCAGGAAGAGAGCATGCCGCCGAACTTACCGCCAGTAAACTCTTTGGGATTTGCCAATTCCTATATTGCCATGCATTATCACACCACTAATGATTTAATGCACGAATACGACAGCACACCGGCCAAGCAGATCCCAGTGCCCTCCGTGTAGTGTCCTGGAGGCTGGAGGCTCTTGGGCAAACTGTTGGTGTTTCGGATACTAACTGATTTCTTATTCACTTTTGTGAGACCAGCGGTAGATGGAAACGTCAAGATTCAGCAGAACAGTTGGCAGTTATGATCGTCTTCTGTCTCAAGTATTGGCATCTACTGATTTGTTTTGTGGTTTCCTGACATTTTAAGATTTGATGTAAAAATTTATAATTTAGCTTTTTACCCTGACCTGTGCTCCGATCTTTGGTACTAAACTTTTAAATAGATGCCAGGAATGATCATGCTAGTGTATTCAAGGAGAATGAACTGATTGTGACCATTTGAGTCCGTGTTCGGGGTCTCTGAAGTACACCTGAGCTGGATTTTTTGAACAATGTGAAGGGATGATCTTCACTGAGGTGAAATTTTTTATTAATTGAACTATAAATTTTGATTCTTTGAAGTGTTCAAATGGGGAACAATACACTTTTTTTGGTAGCAGGCTTATCTGAATAAATAATATATTGTCAAGGCAGAAAATCAGAAATATATTCTTGGTAATTACTTACACAGGACACACACAGGCTTTAGGTACTTTGCTTTCCTAAGACAGTCCACCAAGTAGTATGATTACTACCATTTCTTATGATAGACACTATTACTTTGTGGGAATTGACTAGCTGTATAGTGGTTTTTTTTTTTTTAAAGAAGTATGTTTTTGCGGGGCGCCTGGGTGGCTCAGTCGGTTAAGCGACTGCCTTCGGCTCAGGTCATGATCCTGGAGTCCCGGGATCGAGTCCCGCATCGGGCTCCGTGCTCAGCGGGGAGTCTGCTTCTCCCTCTGACCCTCCCCCCTCTCATGTGCTCTCTCTCATTCTCGCTCTCTCAAATAAATAAATAAATCTTTAAAAAAAAAAAAAAGAAGTATGTTTTTGCTTACTAAAAATGAATTATTCTATTTTGGAATGAGCTTACCCAAGAAGCCTAGTGAAGAGGACTGCACTTGTAGTAGAGGAATGTGATTTCTGGGAGCAGAGGCACTAACTGGGGTCCTCTGAGCCAGGGTATGGAGATGTGGGGAGCAATCTGGACTGCTGTTGTGTGTTAGATGATCTTCATTATTGCTTAAGAAGGTGTGAGAATGAGATCAGGAGTATTCTGATTTACACGCTCCTTCTGTGTGAAGATGGTTTGCTAACAAGTTGACGAAGAGTATCCAAGTAACTATATAAAAATATTTTTTTGTCTTTGTTTAAATATCAGTGCGGTAGAAAAATCCTTAAGATTATCTGTTTGCAAACTAATTGTGTTATTTCTCTCCCATTAATCTTGGCAATGGGCAATAAAGAAAACTAGATTAAGTGTTTCTATATCTGGAGCTAATTTTATGGTCTACTCTGTGATTCCTAGCATAACAACCATAAATTCATATTTTTATGTAAAAATATTTTCATTGTACAGTTAGCTTTTGAACTTGCTACAATTTTGGAACTATAGCTGTTAGACTCATGATGAGCATCAAGATCCAAAACCTAGCTTTAGAAATTGATATATTTCAGAGCTGTTACTGCAGGTTGGAAGGAGCTTTGTTGTTTTGGGTGAAAGGGATTCAGTGTAGAGCTCCCTCTCCAGGCTGTTGCCAAATACAAGAGCGCCCCGAGTTGTAGAGAAGACAGTAGATGCTCAGCTGGAGCTCTGCGCAGCCTCATCCAACAGCCACCTTTCAGCACCGACCATTCTGTTTGTGAGGCTTAAGTATGAGATATGGGTTTTATTTTATTTTTAAATTCACCTTTTAGGACTTTGTCCTTCCCTTCCTTCTCTCCTTTTCTTCCTTTAGTTTTGCTATTTAAATTTTCTAACAGAAGAGAAAATATCCACTCTGTCACATTTTTTTCTTGTTTGTAATTGAGTGCTATTTTTGGAAGTCACTATAACCTATTTCAATTATGCTTTTATATTTTTAATACAACACTGTTTCCAATTATTAATACTCCCATGAGATAGGTTAGTATATTACCCCTTTTTAATAAAGAACTAAGAAATCTAATATCCTCTCCCAAGATCATTTGAAGATAATTCTAATTAGGAATTAGACTTTTGTCTAAATTAGAACTGGGTATTTATTCCAGTAAGCCAAACAGCTTTATAATTAATAAGATTAATCAAGAAGATACTTCATACTTTTTAAGGTATGTATCTCTTTTTTGGCTAGGCATTTCCAGTGTGATTCAATAAAAGATTTTTTTAAAGTGATTTCTACTTGTAAAATTTGAACTGACAGGTTTCTTGTATGACCTTTGAGTTTGAGATGACTTGACCCATCTTTGGGAGGTAAAAGTTACAGTATAAAGAAAAGTAAGCATGCGCATATGAGGTATTCAGTCTCTTTATGCTCATCAAGAAATTGATGATTTAACTTGCATGAAATACATGTTGGGCTAGATTCTTAGCCCTCCTTCACATCTATCTCTACATCTGTGTGGAGATACAGAGATAGATAAAACTCATCTCTTTGTAAGTTATATATGTCTATCTATAGAGGGAGATGTGGATAGACATATATAACTTCTCTATAAGGGCTATATTGAGAACTAAAAATAATGAGAATTCAGTTGAATACGACTAATTATTAGCAGGGTATATTAATTAGTTCTCTTGATGCTTTACTGTGATGCAAAGTATGTGATGTATTTCAAACATTTTATAATCCTTCTGATGTTAATCTTTAGGCCAGATTTGTATTTCTGATGGTTTTAATGTTCTTTTAAAATAATGTTTGGAAAATAAAAATATTGAAAACCCTAACATTTCTGAACATCAGATTGCAGTACTATTACTTTCCCGTCCAATCATTTGAAAACCATCAGAGAAAAGTAGTGATGGTTATTGCGCAATGGATAACAATATGTTGACCCTTCGCATTTTCTTCCTTAAGAGATGAAATAATTGTGGGTTTTTTGTTTTAATTTTTTTTTTTAAGTAAGCTCTATGCCCAATGTGGGGTTCAAACCTACAGTCCTGAGATCCAAAGTCTCATGCTCTACCAACTGAGCCAGCCAGGTGCCGTGAGTCCCCAGGATCTCTTCAATGGTTCCAGAGAGTTCTCTGGCTCAAGATCAGTGCTGCATCTGCCAGGCAATATTGATGATCTCATCAAAAGTGCTATTTCCACCGTGCTTAATGTTTTTCTGCTTCTGTCTGTCGGCGGTTCCTTGAGGACTTTGATAATAGGGCAGAGGCAGAAGGTACCACTTCAATCTGGGCCTGTCCTGAATGGTCAGTTTCACTGTAATCCTCAGACCCTTCCTATCTCTGGTTCCCTTGGCGATGTCATCACTGATCATTTTTGGAGACAGACCCACTGGGCCGATCTTCGGGGCCAAGGCAGACATGGCACCAACTTCCCCACTTGCACACCTCAGGTATATGACTTTGATCTCGTTGGGGCTAAAAATTTTAGGCAGCATGGTGGAGGTGGCTGGTTTTGGATGAACTCAGATTCAGGATGACCAAAGACAGTTGTACCTTCGCCTCCTCCAAGCTAAAAGCCAAAAGCAAAATTACGTATCCTAGAATTGGTAATCTATATGGGGTGTATAAGCTGGGGGAAAAGCTCAAAATTACAGTTCCTTGATAAATAATTTAAGGATCCTTTTTTTTTTTTTTTTTTAAGGATCCTTCTTTGAAACCAGTATTTTTTTTTTAAAGATTTTATTTATTTATTTGACAGAGAGAGACACAATGATAGAGGGAACACAAGCAGGGGGAGTGGGAGAGGGAGAAGCAGGCTTCCCGAGGAGCAGGGAGCCCCATGTAGGGTTTGATCCCAGGACCCTGGGACCATGACCTGAGCCGAAGGCAGACACGTAATGACTGAGCCACCCAGGCGACCCTGAAACTAATATTTTGAGTTGTTTCTTATTTAGCAACTCTACATCTGGGAGCAATCCCCTGCTAAGATTCCAGGTGGGAATTCTTTTACAAAGTGGGAAGGGGGCAGTAACAGATGGGCAGTGGTGAAGAAAAAGCAACACGAGGTCCTGCAGAGTTAAAGCACAGAAGCCTTTTTTTTTTTTTAAGATTTTTATTTTAAGTAATCTCTACACCCAACGTGGGGCTTGAACTCACAACCCCAAGATCAAGAGTCCCATGCTCTTCCAACTGAAGCAGCCAGGTGCCCTGGCACAGAAGCATTCTTAAACAGCTCAGTTTTAGGGTCCTAAGAATGAGCATCTGTAAGCCTCCCTTTTTCATTTTCAAGTTATTCACACCCTAGTTCAAAGATTTCCACTCTAGGCCACTAGCAGCACTCCTTGGGTGCCGGCAGTCTTGGGTTCCTGTCCAGATCTGACTTGTGATTATAGCTCATTCTTAAATAATTCTCCCATAATCTAGCCAGGCCAGGTCATGGAGTCTCCCCTTTCAAAGCCACCCTCTTCATTCACAGTTCAGGGGCAATGTGTACCTAGTGAGATTTTTGACTCCCAGAGAGACCTGTGTTTTCTCCCGTATCCACTAAAAGCTTTGTTTTTCTTTTCCATTAACAAAAGAAGCCTATGGTCCCACCAGAGAAACTTGAGCCACCATTCTCCTACTGGAGCTGAAGGAAGGCCTAGAGTCAGTGAATATCCCAGGCCTATGGAATGGTAAGAAAGACAGGCAGGCTGCCAGGAAAAGGCTCATCTCCATTAGAGATCCAGGCTTTAGAGAGGCCAGGCTAGGCCTGGACCGAGCCTAGAACACAAAGCGGCAAGCGTCACCATCTGGAGGACTCTGCTGGTGCAGGTGACTACGGCTTGAGCTTCAGTGGGCTCAGCCCAGCTGCAGTGGCCCAAAGGTGATGAGATGCAGGAGAGCCAAAGTCACTTATGGGAGCAAACACAATGACCCCTGGAAGCCAGATGGAGTAATCTTTGAGAGGCTGAAGAAAGGAAAGGAGGAGCAGGAAGATAGGAAAATAGCCCCCTATTCCCTCCCCCCACCTCTAAAGACGGATCTGTAAACTGAGAAGCAGGTGCTGGTAGTAATTATGATGATTTTCCATCTTCTGGCTTTCCATACCATTTAAATGCTAATGACATTCAATTCTATATCTCTAGTCCTAACCTCTCCCTGAACTCCATGCTGGTCTATCCAATTGCCTCTTCAACATCTCCACTTGGATGGCTAATAGGCATCTCAAATTTTAACATGTGCAAAACTGAACTCTTGATTCAACCCCACTCTTTACCAAACTTGGGGCTCCTGCTGTTTTATTATCTCAGTAAATGGCATGGCAATTACCCAGTTGCACAGGTCAATTTGTTGGGTCCTTGACTATTTCTCTTGAACATCGCATCCAATTCGTTGGGACAAATCCTGAAGTATCTTGAAAATAAACTCTGAATCCAACTACTTTTTTTTTTTTTAAGATTTTATTTATTCATTTGAGACACAGAGATACAGAGAGAGAGAGACCATGAGCAGGGGGAGAGGCAGAGGGAGAGGGAGAAGCAGGCTCCCCGCCGAGCCAGGAGCCTGATGTGAGGCTCCATCCCAGGATCCCGGGATCATGACCTGAGCTGAAGGCAGACACTTAACCATCTGAGCCACCCAGGCGCCCCTGAATCCAATTACTTCTTAGCTCTTCATCCCCATCCCCTCTAGCCCACGTGCCCATCATTTCTCCCTCGGAGTATGAAACCGCCTCATAGCCATTTCCCAGCTTCCAGGCTCTCTCTCCTGCAGTCTTCTTGCTTTGTAACTAGGGACACTGCAGGTAAATCATGTTTGCCACTCTCCTGATTGAAACTTAGAACAACATCTGAACTCCTTGCCTCGACCTGTGTGGCCCTAATGATCCAGCCCTTGGTTTCCGCTCTGTCCCCATTTGCTTTCACTTGCACCCTACCTAATATGTTTGGGATGCAACAAGCTTTCTGGCTCTTTCTCACATGACTCAGTTTTGTTCCCATGTCAGGGAATTAATTCCCCCAGAAATACTTCAGCCTGGAATGGTCTTCCCCACTGGCCTTTCCTAGTTGCCATACTCAACAGAGTTCTCACTCCATCACTGTCTATCCTTCTGCCATATTTTATTCTTTTCATGTTTCTTATCATTACTCAACATTATGCTACTGTATGAGTCAGCTTGCGCTGCCATAACAAAATACCACAGCCTAGGTGGCTTAAGTAACAGAAATTTATTTCCTCATAATTCCGGAGGCCCGAAGTCCAAGGTCAACACACCATCAGTGTTGATTTCTTGTGAGCCCTCCTTCCCTGGTTTGTAGGAGATCACCTTCTCATTGTGTCCTCACATGGCCTTTCTCTGTGCATGCAGGGAAAGAGAGGGGGTGGGAGAGGGAGGGAGAGGGTTGGGGGTCGG